AACTTGAGCTTGGTTTGCGTGGGCCCTTCCGCACGCCGCCGCCGCTCGCTTGACGGGTAAGCTCCCGCCTTGGTCTCAGCTTTGCATGGATTGTGCCTCTGGACCCGCTCCCTCCTTCTCTCTCTTCTTCTCCTGTGCCACCCAGAGACGCTATCTCTAGTTTTATGAGATCCCGGCATGCCCGGCCTTGTGTGTGTCGGTGCCATGCTTGCCCCTCGGCGCGCGCGCGCAGAGATCGCTTTTTGGCTGGTTTGATGAATGGCTAGGGGCCAAGTGGACCTAGTCTTGCTGCTCGGGGTGATGAGGCCCGAGAAATCAACGTAGACCTCATGAACAAACATCTTGAAAAACGAGGGGATGCTGCATCAGATGAGCAAGGTGGGGCTCTTCGGGACGGCGAAGCTTTGAGTGCCACCAGGTCTCAGATTTGATGCTCGTTGACGTTGCGCTTACAACAGGCTGCGCCTACGCCGAAGACGAGGCGCCGAGCCGCGCGTCGCCGATCAGCCAGGGTCGACCAACTTCAATTTGCGCAGCTCGTGATCATGTTTTTCAGCGTTTGGCCTCACGCGCAACTATGGCCTCGTTCTGCACAGGCGCTACTCAAGCAGTTTGCCGCACGTTTGACGGAAACTTGGTCTTGGCAGTTGAGGGCAGGCGGGGCGACTTGGCGACTCCCGCAGCGTGTGGATGCCACCATAGCTCAGAGTCAGAGGCGCAGGCGGTGGGTTTCGGGTTGACTACACTCAGGCGGTGACGTGTGCAACTTTTTCGCTTTTCTCCTCTTTTCCACTTCGTGGCGCAGTTCCCAGCCTTGCACGCAGAGCCCTTGGTTTGGTGTCCACTTTTCCGCAGAAAAAGACCAGAAGCCCTGCACTAATTCGTTCATTCATCAGCTCATTCACCCATTCATGCATTTGTTTGTTCATTCACTCACTCATTCATTCATTCATTCATTCATTCATTCATTCATTCATTCATTCATTCATTCATTCATTCATTCATTCATTCATTCATTCATTCATTCATTCATTCATTCATTCATTCATTCATTCATTCATTCATTCATTCATTCATTCATTCATTCATTCATTCATTCATTCATTCATTCATTCATTCATTCATTCATTCATTCATTCATTCATTCATTCATTCATTCATTCATTCATTCATTTTTTGTTCAGTCACTCGTTCATTCATTCGTTCGTTGGTTCACTCATTCATTTGTTCGTTTATTCTTTACGTGTGTGTGCGTGCGGGTGTACCGGCGCACGTACGGACACGCACGGGCGTACGGGTGTGCGGGCGTACGTACGGGCCTGCGTTCGGGCGTGCGGGTTGCGCACGGGTGCGCGTACGGGCGTACGGGCGTTCAGGCGTACTTACATCCGTCCGCCCGCAGTGTATAAGGTCGCATTTTTTAAAAATCAGGCCTTATTTTGTCTTTTGGGCCTGCAGCCTCTAGCCGGCTACGCCTCTTTGAAGTTATACCATGTCATGTCATGGTTTTGGATGAAAAATGTATACTGTGCTATGATATGGCTGGTTAGGTTGCGCGTGTGCCGACCCTCTTCACTTGGTCGTGATGCGTTGCCTAAACCCGGCATCTCTGCATCACCAGCTCGGGCTTGCGGTTTTGCTTGCCTGTGGGACTTGCGCAACATGGCGTATGTGCAGGGTTTAGACCAATTCATGAAGCGCTGTTTTTTAGAAGATATCGAAGGAAAACTCATTTTCGCGCAATTTGGTGGCAAGCGCTGCCGGGCATGCCGGCGATGCTGAGTCCCAGCTGTACAAAGCGCTTTAAAATTGTCAAAAACTGCTATGCTGAGCGTTGTGCTGTTGTTCTGTCCGTTTTGTTTGTGTTGCGGCTGGCTCGTGCGCTGCGCGGTCCTTGCTTTTTCCGTGTGCGCGCGGCCCCAGCCCCATAACGCCGCTATTTGCGGTGTTTTGTTGCGTTTGCGTTTCTGGGCTGGCTTGCGGGCTGTTCTTTTTGGGCTGCTCGTTCTGGGGCCTCTGGCGCATGCGACCCCATGTGAACCTTCTGGGTTGGGGCCCGGCTGGAGCACAGAAAGCTGGCATCCCCGGCATCATCTGGAGTGGGCAACACGCATAACCTAACCAGCCATATCGCAGCACAGGATGCGTTTTTCACACAAAAAATTACATGGTATAACTTCAAAGAGGCGTAGCCGGCTAGAGGCCGCAGGCCCAAAAGATAACAGGCAAATTGCCTAGCGGCGACACGCTACCCCAGGAGGCGTAGCCGGATCTAAGGGCTGCCGCCCAGTGCTGCGGACCCCTTGCTGTTGTTGTTGTTGTTGTTGTTGTTGTTGTTGCCAGCCGTCTTGGTACCTCAGAAGCACCCAGGCAAACTGAACCCATGATGATGATAACTACCATCATAGCACCCTTAGCATTTCCAGTGATGAGGACCACCATGATGATGATTCATAGCATCTTTAGCCTTAAAGAAGTATAACGTCAAATAGACAAGAAATATGAGAAAATAAAATGATGATCATTATGATAGTGATGAGATGATGATGACCATCATGATGATGACAACTATCATCACAGCGTTTTTTGCATCACCGTCAGCATGATGATAATTATCGCCTTACTAGTGAGGGTGGCATCGAGGATGATGCTAACTCTCACACATCATTGCATCCTTAGCAATGCCAGTGATGATGACCATCATGATGCTATCATCATAGCATCCTTTGCATGACCATCACGATGATGTTAACTATCATCACAGCACCCTTAGCGTTACCAGTGGTTAAGACATTCATGATGATGATATCTACCATCACAGCATCCCCAGCAATACCATGTATACAAGAAACACGCGAAAAGAAAGACAGGATGGTCATGATGATAGTGACCATGATGATGACCAGCGTGATGATGAACACCCTGATGATGATAACTATCATCGTAGCAGCCTGTGCGTCGCAGCATGGTAAGGCTAAGGATGCTATGGTGGTAGTTGTCATCAGCGCGGTGAAACTTACTATGACCATAGTTGTCCGCATCATGTGGATAGTTGTCATCATCGTGACGGTCATCATCGTCATCAGTATCATCATGGTCAGTCCCGTTTTTCTCTCATATTTCTTGAATAAACGTACCAGAACTGACGTTAGACATTGGTGGTGTTGCTGAGGGTGCTGCGATGATAGTTATCATCACCATGGTGGTAGTGCAAAGGGTGTTACGATGATCGGTAATGCAAAGGACGCTACGATGATAGATGCCATCACCATGATTGCCGGTCATCATAGCGTTTTTAGCATTACCATCATGACGGTGGTAACTACCATGTTCGCAAACGATATGATGACCATGATGATGGTGGTGATGATGACGGTGATAGTTATCATTGCCAACACAAGAATGTGAAACTGTAAGACTACTAACAAGGCAAGATCTGTTATGATATAAGAATAAGACTATAATAATCTAAAGCAATTGTATTTTGACCCTTCCCGTGCGCTTCCACTCTTGGGCGAGGGGTCGGCGGATAAGATAAGGCCTTCTTTTTCAGCACGCCGTCTGCGTCCGTACGTCCGCGCGTACATCCGTCCGCCTACCCGCGCGTGTGTCCGCACACACGCACGCGCGTGCTCCGTACGTCCGCGCGCGTGTCCGCACACGTCGGTGCGCAGCCCGTGCGTCCGCGCGCATGTCCGTCCACACGTCCGTACTCACGGACTTCTCGCCCGCGCAGTCACACGTGCAGATTGAGTTCCATTGTATGAGCATGCGTGTCAAAACCTAGCCAAGTCAACACTTCAAATTTAATGAGCTGGCTTTCAACTGCAGAGTGTCTTGACTTAACTACTCCTTACTAAAGTAATTCCTCAAATAGGCACTTTTTGAGTATGAATATATATATAGTAGTTTTGTGTTTCGGTTCATTGTTTGCGTAGTTCTGTTGTCTTTTCTTTCATGTATTTGCTGGGTTCCTGTTCGCGTTCATGTTATCGTTTTCTTTTTGTGTTTATGTGTTGTCGAGGTATTTGCTTGCTGGCGCCTTATGTTTGTATGTGTTGGCTGTAGTTAGCTTTTTAGTTTTTCAGTAGCAAGCGTTTGTTGCGGTCACATGAACTTTTACTTGTCTGTGTTTTCGTTTATTTGCCTGGTACGCACACATGTATTACTGTTATCTTGTTTTTTCCTTTTTTTTAGCATTTGCGTACTTACTTGTTTCTGTTTCTCCGTCATAGATGTGTTCGAACGAGCTCGATAAACGCTGCAGAACACTTGTGTAACGTTTTTGCTTTATCCTCATCAAATTCCTTTCAATTTCGTTGCGTAATATAGCATGAAGGAATCATCACTCTGAAGTTGTCCTTTTTTCACTTAAAACTTAAGTAAGCGACGAGTGTTCCATTGCAAGGTAGACGTTGCGCAGGGCTTCCTTTCCAATGAAATTGTTCTTGCAAACAAAAAGGCATCTGAGCAACATTTATTTTACAGTTTGTGGGCCTTCAAGTTAGTTTCTTTTGAACTTCCTTGGTACCTTTGGCAGTTTGTACAAGAATTTAAAGGAAAACGAAGAGAACAAGAAAGGGAAGAATCCAGCCATAATTTCTGTTGATACTGAATAAACGGCGCGCAGGGCTTCCTGTCCGAGAACTGCCCTTGCAAACCAGTGGCAGAATGTTTTGCTTTATTCTGTTCTGTTTATTTGTTCGGAGATTTGTTTGTTCTTACTAATGTTTTGTTTGCTCAAATGTTTGTGTTTGATTGATTGTTTGCTTGTGTTTGTTCATTTGATTGTCACTTACCGATTATTTATCCATTTGTTGACTCATTTCTTTCTTGGCTAGTTTTCCCTGCTTTATTGACTTATTCTGTTTGTGCCTTCTTTCTAGGCTTTCCATAGTGCCAGTTGTGGACAATTGGGCTGCGCAGCTTGACAAGGATTTGAGATTTTGAAACAAGGAACACGGAACGGGGCCCAGCACGGCCGCGGCGCTGCGACTCAGGTCACCATCAGCTTTCAATGGAAGCTGGAGCCGCAGGCAGGTGCCAAAAGCCGCAAAGAGAGGGTGTGTGTCCTCCCTCTTCTTTGGGGGCCTGTGGGACGCCCTGCTACGCATGTGCGGATCAAGACGCCTTTTCTCAGCCCGCAGGAAAGCTCGCGCTGCAGGATAGAAGTGTCATTGCGTGCCTGTTCTACAACGTTTCCTAGCGGGCAGGTTTGAGATGTCCGTCCAAGAGTCCAGCAAGAGCAGTTTTCGAGGCCATCGCGACAAACTGTTTTAGCGCCTTAAACTGGATTAGCCGGATTTCATGCACGGCTGTGCTTTCATTGCGCTGCATCATGTTGCCTTGGTCTGACCAGTTTGTCTTTCTGCGCTGGAAAGCGCCGTCGCTGACAGCGGCGGCTGCCTTGCACGTCTTTGCTTGCCGTACGGTGCAAGATCTGTATCTGGAGTAGCCCAGTGTGCCACAAAGCTGTTTGCGCAGCAGCAGAAACCCCCGGAGACACATTGCGTTTGGGCATGGGTGGTTCTTGCTTCGATGCTGCGCGCAGGTATTCAGCCAGGAGCCGGCCCGTTGCTGTGCTGCTGCTTGCTTCTGTGCTGCTTCTGGCTCTGGGGGAAAGAGTGGTTGCTTTGGGGGCGCGGGCCTTGGCACCATGTTGACAGACGTGGCGTGGCAGCGGCGGTTTCACTTGATGGTTTGCGTGTGACAAGAACGGCAATCACTCGTCCGTGCCCCCTCCCCCCCAAACCCAACTTCCTGTGTCAAAATCACAAGTTTTGACGCAGGGTCGGTGCCAGTTCATGTGGCTTGGCTCCACCTGGCGCCTGGTGTCTCACCCAGAACTACTGAATCGGAACAGAATTGTGTTGTGGACATTGCAGCCGCAGATGTGAGCCTGGGCAGATTCTGGCTGCAACTTTACAACCTCCCGCAACGTCTTTATACAAAAGCCGCAACTTGGACGGGCGGGCTACTTGCTATGTAGTTGGTGAACCTAAACGGCTTGCTAAGCCACTTGCAAGTTGCCTAACTCGAGTTAGTAAGTCCGCTGAGTCTGACTTAGCGGACCTACAACCTGGCTAAGTCCACTTGGCGGGTTAGAGGACTTAGCTAAGTACTTAGCTAAGTCCTCTAACCCGCCAAGTGGACTTAGCCAGGTTGTAAGTTCGCTAAGTCAGACTTAGCAGACTTACTAAAGCTAGGCAACTTGCAAGTGGCTTAGCAAATCGCTTAAGTTCGCCAGGTGCATAGCAAGTCGGCTGCCCATCCAAGAATGGTTGCGCGCAGGTTGTCGACGGTGCACTTGCATGACGACTTGTGAGCAAACAAGACGCCCAACACGATTGAACGCAAAAAAGAGCCAACTTTTGCGTGAAAACCAACTGCGCCTTTTGCCAGCCATTTCCGAGATTGTTTGTCCCCCGACAAGTAAGAGTCGTTTGTTGGGAAGCCGGAAGGCCACTTGGCACGTAGAAACATCCAGCATCCACCCTTCCTGGCCAAAGCACGTTCGGTGGCAGGCCTTGAAGCCGTTGTACTACCTCCTGGGAGAGGACGGGTATGATGACGCCTTTGTGCGCTTCGCGCGCGCCGCCCTCATCAACACCTGCTGCCTGGCTTCGCGGGCGCACAGCGTTGAAGAGTGAAGCCCGCGTCAAGGGCGTTTGCAGGAACATGGCCAGAAGGATTCTTTTCAGCAACGGATCATCGTGGCCTTTTTCCCGGCTAGCTGCATTGAGAATTTAGACCCGGCGCTTCAACTGCTAAGTAGCATAAGCCGGGGACCAAATGTTCCGGCGGCTGCAGCAGCTGAGGCTCATATTTCCCAGCGGACATGTACTTCACAAATCGCACTATCATCACTGCCAAAATGTTGGAGGACAGATGTCTTTCACCTTTCTCATTGTTCAGCCTGACACGCGGATGATTTCACGACTGCGGGCTCGAGGATTTGGAGAACAACTTTCAAAAGCCTGAGAAGGGGCTCCAGACCACCATCAAAGGCAAGCAAGGTGAGCTTTGTCCGTTCTTGCACAGTGCTGTTCAGGCCTGCAACTCCAAGATGTCGACTTGCCGGACGAGTTCGATGTTGAGATCGCCAACACACAAACACAGCTTCAGGACCAGTCAGTCGCGATCCGTTTTTGAGGGGTAAGACACTTTACAAATCCACTTGTCAGGTTCTTGAGACATATTGCCACGACTTCTTGTCACCACACACAGGCCGTTGCCGGACCGGAAGGTTGTCATGTCGAGCATGTAGGCCCAGCTGGCCCAACGTAACGAATTAGAATCATCACTGACCCATAACCTTTGCTGCAAGCAGTGTCATATCCTAATGGTCTCAACTTGCTCAGGGAGCCTGACCTGGCCAAAATGCCTTGGATGCTGCTGGTGGTGTGCCCTTGTGGTGAGCTTTGAGGCGGAACACAGATCAGTAGGCTTATCCATCGCCGGGGCCCTGCAACCGAAGGAGCCAGCGCGTTCGACAGACTGCAAGGTCGATGCGTCAGATTAGGGGCATCCAGGCTCTGCAACATCGCCAGGCTGAGCATGACAGTTCGCCAGGCTCTGCAAAATCAATCAGCTGGGTGGTTGCAGGCTGTCCAGGATCTGCAGACGATTGAGTTTTCTGTCGAGAAGGCCAGGAAGTTTGCGCGTGGCAATCAAGGTCCAAGTGCCGCAAGAGCTCTTCCCTTTGCCTTTGCTTGAAATTGAGTTGGATGGCCGCGATGGCCTCTTGAGAGGGACAAGGAAAGGAGGACCAAACTGCTGCGTGGAGGCCTTGAACGATTTGTGAAACGGGCTGGAACGAGTTGCGAAGCTGGCTGGCAGTTAAACCCCAGACATGCCAAAGAACGGCCGCGGGAGCCCCGCTCCAATCCCCGATAAGTACGAGGATTTGCAAACTCAGGCGCTGCAGGAGGAGCTGGCTGGGCCAGGCAAACGCTTGCTGAAGAAGAAAGAAAGAAAGGAGGCTGCGCCTCGAACTTTGGTTCTGACGGTGTGAACCTGGCCGCTGGCGAAGTTCGGGGGCGGTTGGCGGTGGCAGAAGACGAGGAGCTGTTCATGGCTCCTGCGGATTTGAAGGAAGATGCGTGGCTGGAGTCGGCGTTGCGAGACGAAGATGCTGGGCTTGTGTCACCGGGAGACCCTTTCTGTTTTCGGGAGTTCTACCTTGTTGTGGAATTCCGCCAAGAAAGGGTTGTGATCTGAGAACCTCATATTGGCGGCCTGGAGTACCGAGCTGCAAGCAGCGGACGCTTCGGAGTGGGGACGTGAGGGCTCGGGGTCGCTTCTACACGATGACGAGGATGCGCACTTGCGGGGTTGGAAAGTGTTGGCGTGTGAGGGAACACTTTGAGTCGGTCAAGTTCAGAAACGTGGTTCGGGGCTGGCGTCGTTGGTCGGCGTTGTTGGCGGCAGCAAGAATTCTGTGCCAGCGCGAACCTCGCAGTTTGGTTCGCGCTTTGTCGTTCCCCGCCGAGGTGGGCGCCAGCCCTCTCATGCCTGTTCGCTTACCCAAGGGGCCGTGCCGTGCGTAGTGCGATGGGGCAAGCAGGACAAGTGGGTGAAGGCGACGCCCGACGCACGGAAGGGTGCTAGGGCGCCAGAACGAGACCTCGCTGACCTGGGGCATCGAGCTCAGCCAGGGCTCGACGGCGCAGAAGAATCAACAGCGAACGATCGGCTGCCAGGCTCGGTAAGCAGGACTTTCCTGCAAGCCGGATGATCTGCTAACCGCTTGTGGCAAGGAGACGCAGACCTGGAGCGCTGGCAAGGTGGGCGCGGATGCTGACGCAAATCGGGGTTGCAGAGCTGGCGGTTGGGAAGAACTTGGTGGAGGTGGCGATCGTGCAGACAGACAGAGAGCGCTGTGTGGGGGGGGGGGTGGCAGCGGCGCAAAGCGTGGCTTGTGCTGCTGAACTGGCTGCCCGCACATCCCACTGATGGGGCGAACCCCTGACACGATTTGGCACACGCACCTTGCAGAACCTTATCCCACACGTTTACCAGCCCTTCGTTGGCTGGTTGGCTCAGCGAGGGTGGATCGCCTTGCGCGCGTCCTGTTTGACAGACAGGTGGCCTGGCAACCTTGGATGTGACGCTTTTCCTACGCATGTCTGGGAGTGGCTTTGCGGTTGGTTTTCGTGGCCGCTTCATCCTTGGCAGGGTCAAGGGTGAGGGCGCGCAACAGCGACTTCGGAACAACCCTGGCAGAACAGGCGTTGGCGCAAGTTGGCGTCGTATATATCATGTTTCCCGTCATTTTGTTCTTGGTTTCTTTAGCGCGCACCCTCTTACAATCCACAAGGCCCGGGCACAGGAGCTGTTAGAATCCACAAGGCCCCGGCGCAGGAGCTGGAGGTTGCCTTCGCAGAGCGCGTGGAGAGGGAAGTGGCCATGCAGACAGCTTCTTGGTGCGAAGCGCGGCAAGCCGGGGGCGCTCGGAGTTCGACTGTGTAAGGCTAAACACAGAAAGCAAGGGAACTTTAAGGAACTTCAATGAAGCAAGAGTGAAAGACGAAGTAGCCTATGTTTGCGCCACAGAGGGCGAAGGAAGGCCAGGGACATAGCGTTTCTTTGCAAGATGCTGTCAACAACACCCAACCCGCCCAACCTGATCAACCCATTCATCCGCGTTGAGACACATTGACGGATTTGCCCATCCCTCCATCCCTGCATTCATCCCCCACCCAACAGTAGTTTGGTGCGCCCCGCCTGAAGGGTGCGTTTTGGGATTGGCTGGCAGGAGGCCTCCATAAGTCCGTAAAGGGCAGTGAGGGCCAACCCATTTTTCAGCTGTTTACAGAGAGACAAGAGGTTTTTTAATCGTGGCATGGGCACGCATAGGCGCACACGTTTGCAAGAGACATGCAAGCTGGGCAGGTTGGGGGACACGCGTTGCACATTTGGTACTGGTAGTCGTTGGCTCAAGCGACGGAATGCGCTCAGGAGCTCCTGGTCTCTACGCAGCAGGCCCGCAGAAAAAAACTGCATTGATAGTGTTCATGAAATATGTATACTTATGTGGGAGTGCTTGCCAGCGGGGGGTGAGTTTCCAATACTTAATGGTGGAGCTTGTTTAAAAACATAATTAGAACTGGTTTAAAGCAATAATTGTTGTTTATGTGTTCTAAATGGTTTCAAAGCGTGTGTTGGCTAAGTTTGGCCATGGTTTGAAAGCCTGGTCACACTCACCCAAGCAACCCCGACACGCCCTACGAGAGCGAGAAACAAAACGTACCCAGTGGCAGTTTCTTTTGTTTCACTGACGCAGCCACACAGCTCAATCCAGCTGCTAAACCCTGACACGCCCCACGAGAGCGAGAAACAAAACGTACCCAGTGGCAGGTTCTATTGTTTTACTTGCGCAGCCACACAGCTCAATCCAGCTGCTAGTGAGAGGCTCCCTCACACTTTCGCTCTCTCTCGCTCTCTCTCTCTCTCTCTCTCTCTCTCTCTCTCTCTCTCTTTCACTCTCTCTATCTCTCTCATTAAGTTCGGACTGCTTTTTTTTTCTACAAGTGCAAGTGTTGTAGTGTTGTTAACACAAACAAACCTGTAGTCTGCGCGATTTTTGTTTTGCATGCGCTCTGGATGTAATAAGCTCAAGGCCTGCGGTCATGCGCAAGCTATGTAGTACAGCACCGCATGTACTTTGACCGCGTCCTCAGTTAAAAGATCATGTAGTTTCTTTCAACTAGAATGCAAATGTCAGGATTGACAGTAGTGATGAAAACAAGTGTTGTTCATCCATGCTACTGCAGTGAAAGGGGAAAACAGGTGTAGTCCTCAGTAGCTCTCGCTGTTCAGGATTCAGCCCCTGATGTAGTCGGACTGAACGGAGTTCGTGAGGAGGTGCCTGTTGTCAACAAGTAGTGACCGTAGTATTCTGCAGCCTTGCTCAAAACGCAGTGGACAGCACGTCGTGTGGTAGTTGCTGAGTGTTGATGAGGAGGTGGAAAGCCCAGATGTAGCCGTTGGCCAGGGTGTGATGTAAGGTGAAGTCGTTGAAGTTGTAGTTGATCAAGGAGGCTCCCTGGTAGTGGGACACGCGAAGGATGTAGTGGCTTTTGGTTGAAGTGGACTGACTAGTTTAGTCACGCACGAAGTAGTCCAGGTTGTTGTCTTGTAGTTGTTGGGTGTAGTCTGTGGGACGTGAAATGGTGACAAGAATGTAGTCGTTGGTGTGGTTGGTGGATGTGTGGAGTTCGGTCGCGCTGTAGTAATGCCAAAAGTGGGCGTCCGCTGTCGAATGTAGTAGTTGTAGTTGGTCGTACACCGGCTGATGTAGCTTGCCCGGTAGTGAGTGTAGTGGCAAAAAGCGTGTAGCTGGTTCTGAAATGGCAGTGGTGTCGAAAAAATTGACTGTAGTGTCATCATCCTGTCCTGCCGTGGGAAAGCAGTAGTTCTCAACCGTCAGGGGGATGTAGAATTTGGTGTATTGTGGTGTTGTGGGCAGTGCAGTCATGGCCCGTAGTAGGACGGTGTCGTTGATGTGTAGGTTGAACTCGTCGGAGTTGTAGACATCCTGTAGATGTGCGCGCAATGGCAACGCCGTGGTCTGTAGTTGAAGGCCGTGTCGCGCCTGTAGTTGGCGAAGTTGTGAACTGGTAGTTGGACGGGTGTTGTAGTCGCAAAATGGTCCATGGCTGTAGTCCTAAAAATAAAGTGAGACGGGGCGCCTAAGGTGAGGCTGTCGTTGCTAACAGCAAGCGGGCAGACATGTAAAACAAACAGACATGTTGTGTTGACTGAAGCCGCCAATCATGCCGCCAAAAGTGCAAGTGACATTACATGTACTTATTGTTACTTACATACCAAAAGTGTCATGTTACATGTAGCTGCTACATACAAAACGGTTGAAGTCGTTGTTGTTGTCGTTGTCGTTGTCGTTGTCGTTGTCGTCGTTGTTGTTGTTGTTGTTGTTGTTGTTGTTGTTGTTGTTGTTGTTGTTGTTGGCGTTGTCGTTGCCGTTGTGGTTGTTGTTGTGTGGTTGTTGTTGTTGTTGTTGTTGTTGCTGTGAAACAGTTGCGCTGATCGTTCGTAGTGCTAAATGCGTATCCCAATGCTCTGGCTGAGCCTGTGTAGTGTTTCCTTGCTAATGCATTTGGTAAGCAAATCTGCGCTGTTATGAAGTGTGTTGATCTTGAGGATTCTGCTGATGTCGTGTTTGATGAGGTGTTGTGTGTAGAGGATTTGAGGTCGATGTGTTTTGCTCGTTTGTTTGTGCCTTGTCTTGTAGCAATGTTCTTGCCTGAGTCTGTGTAGTCCCTCATTAACTCCTGTGCAAATTGCGTGGAGTTCAGATTCTGCTGAACTGAGCCTGTGTTCTGCTGCCAAAGGCGACTGTTGTTCCAAGAAAGATGATGTTGAAACCTGAAGTTGATTTCCTGGTAGTAGGGCATCCTGCTCAGTCAGCATCGACACGAACGTCAAGATCCAGGATGTTGTTGGTGTTTGCTCTTAGTGTTGTTGTTGGTTCCATGGTGAATTTGTAGTGTTTGGTACCGCGCAAGTAGCGTAGTAGGTTCTTGGCTCTCTTTTGTGAAAGTTCTGCAGGTGCTGCGAGATCTCGTGCTAGTTCATTTGTTGCGTAGGCGATGTCTGGTCTTGTGTATGCTAAACATTGAAGTTTACCAACAATTCGTCTGTGCCTTGTGTGTTGTTCGTGGTCGAGTAGTGCTTCATCCTCTATTGTTGGTTTGTAGTGGGCGATTCCTGGAGTGGTCACTGTGTTGCAGTTGGTCATTCCAGTTTCCTCGATCATGTTGTCGATGTAGGAGTCCTGATGTCCAAGAGCGCAGTAGTTGCCGAAGTGCTCGATGTTTCTTCCCAGAAACTGTTGTGGTTTACCGTGCTCGAGGTAGCCAATGTGTTTGAATAGCACCTGCTTCTGGATGGCCTCGAAGATGGGGTCGACAGTAGTCTTGTTTGTCTCCAAGTACCAACGAGTCGTCCACGTAGACCACGATGTAGCAGTCACGAGTCGTGTTGGTGTAGACGTTGGGTTCTGACTGTAGTCTTACAAAGCTGAGCTTTCTAGTACTTCAGCCAGGTAGTCCTGCCATGCTTTAGGTGAGCTGCGTAGTCCATACATGGCTTTCTTGAGGCGCCATGGTTTGTTCTGTAGTGGACAAAGTTCTTTAGGTGGCCAAAGGTAGACGTAGCGTTGTTTGCCGTCGTGGTCTTTTGCGATGGGTGCGTGTAGAAATGCCGCAGAGACGTCGCCTAGTCGCGCGACCCAGTTTGGTCGTGACATTTGTAGCGCGAGAGGTGTCCGTAGCATCGTGAACATTGGCGACGGAGTCTTTTTCTTCGATCTCGCTTCTACTTCGTACGCCTGGCCATTTCTTTCTGTGGACCCACCTTGTTGGATTTGCTTCTCTGATGACGTTGTCGTCGACTGTAGACGCATCTACTTCGTCGTAGACGTCATGTAGTTTCATTTGGTTTGATTCGTGGTTCGTTCCTTCCAGCAGCGCTTCGTCGTAACCTTCGTTGTCGAAGATTATAGGTTGGTCTTCGGAGGTGTTGTTGTTTGTGTAGGAAGTGACGGATGTTCCGTTGGAAAGTGTCACTGCGTTAATTTTCTGCCGTAGTGGTTGTGGTTCTTTGGTTGCTTCTTCCGTTGATCTGATTGGAGTGTCCTTTGGGGTATTTTGCGCTTTGGCCGGTTGTATTACATCTTCCGGAGTCATGCGTCGTACTGTTTGTCGAGGTGGTGCTGGTAGTGGTGGATGTTGCCGTCCGGTTGGTGAAGTAGCCATGGGGATATCGGGTAGTGGTCGTGAACTTGACGCCGATGTCGACGGAAGCCTTGGAGGTGACGTAGTTTGTTGTTGTTTCCGCGACAATATCGTCCGTCACGTCCGTCTGTTGTTCGACGTCTTGTGTAGCTCGTCTCTTTTCTGACGATTGTAGTTGCGTGTCCAACAGTGTTGCGATTGACGGGTTGTAGGTGTTCCGTCGTGGCTGCCGGAAACTTTGTTTAGTAGCGCGAGGTCGTATTTGAAGTCCGGCTGTAGTTTTCGTACTGTCCGTGCTTTCAGTACGCCTTGTTCTGTTGCGACGTAGTTTTGTCCGCTTTCGGAAACTTTTCCAAGCCAAACGCATGTCTGCATGCGTGGTCTGCTTTCGGAATCTTCTTGTGTTGTGGTGGAATGTAAAGTAGTGTTTCGCCAAATTTGCAAATCGCTCGCTCGTAGTTTCTTCCCCAGCGGCATTCGAAGCTTGTGTAGCCGTTGGAGAGGATGACTTAGCGATTTACCGTCCATGCTGCGTGTCGTCTATCCAAGGTAGTAGACAGTCCTTTGTGGACGTTGTCATGCTGTAGTTGCTTTCAACTTGTGCTTTGAAAACGCGTATCTGTCCAAGAAGTGTTCGATGTAGTCGCTCAACGCTTCCTGGACTGTTGCTGCTGTAGGAGGGTGCATGTCGAGCAGTCATTGAGCCAACTTTGGCTGCTGTAGCTTTCAGAAATGCGTTGAGTGTGTCTTCGTTGTCACTTTGTAGTATGCCTTGTGTTCTTCCGCGCTCAAAGGTGAATGCTTGTAGGTTGTTGACCATGTAGTCCATCATTGATGGTTTTTCCGGGATCATTTCCGCCACACACAGTTGTGTGGTATCATCAACTGCTGTTAAGACTGGTATGGTCTTTGGGTCTTGCTGTGATTGATGTAGGCAAAGTCTACTTGAATGACCCTTGCTTTGCACGCGCATTGGACACCAATTTCTGTATGGCAGGCGCGTCAAGTTGTGTTCTGCTACTTGTTGCGGAGTTGGTTGCTGCGGTTGTCGTAGTCCTTTTGCTCTGTGTGCTTCATGATGTTCGTGTTGTTGTTCCTCATCGTGGCTCTCCTGGATGTACTCGTAGTCTTTCTTGATGGTGAGCCTTGTTGCTCCTTTCCATTGACATGGTAGTGCTGCGTTGCCCATGACTGTCCAGTCATCTTTGCGTTGTGAAACTTCTCCAAAGTTGTTGTTGGTGATTGTAGTTCTGTGAGGTTCGAGTGTTGATTGGTGGATGTCCTGGTCCATCTGTTGGAGTGAACAGTGTAGTTCTACGTGATATGTGGTGTCTTGTCCAGTGTTCACCAGTAGTCTTGGTTGTCTTCTTGTGCTGCGAGTGGTCTGTGTATGGTCGCCTTTGGTTGTGTGCGGTTGTGAGCTCCGGAAGTTGCTCCGCGTGTAGGTGTTATCTTTCTTCTGAATCTGGTTTCTCCAGTCCAGCTGTCACCTTCTAGTCTTCTTTGTAGTTCTTGCTTGGAAAGTTGTGCGGGGTTCTCCTGTAGTTGTTCTTGCTCTTGCCCTTGTCTGTTGATGATGGTTAGTCGCCAATCATCTAGTGCGTGGTGTAAAAAGTGCTTTGCGTGGTCGTTTGTGAACTCTGATGGCGTAGCCACCATCAAGTTTCCAGTAGTCTGTGCTTCCACCAAGGATCTGTCGCAGTCCTTTGTGTGTGAGTGGTGGTGGTGTCGTGGATTGAAGTCGAGTCCGTATCCTCTATCAAGTAGTCTTGATGCACTGAGGATAGGACACTTCACATCACAAACGTAGCAGGGTATCAGGATCCTGAAGTTGTCCTGCTTGTAAGGAACATACTTGATGCCGTAAACAGGGATCTTCTTGTTGGTAACCGTGTAGAGTTGCGGAACTAGTTCTCCACAACGTCGTAGTGGTAGCTCTGGCGCGTAGTCCTTTGGGCAATCCATGATGGCGTGTGCGTTGCTTTCTTTCCAAGTAGTCATTGGGATATGTGCTTGTGTGGTAGTGACTTTGCTTGTCTGGTGTGTCCAATGGTGAGGTGTGACTTGTTGATGCCTCCAATGTAGTTTGTGTTTTCATGGTTATTTTCGCTTCAATCCCAAATCCCAGCTGTTGTCATAGTCGTAGTCGTTCCAAGTCTCCTCCATGTAGTTTGCCCATGTCCTTCTTCTCTTTCGTAATACCAGTCCCAAGTGTCGCTCAGATCCGGGGGTAGTTCTGCTTGTTCTTGGTCTGGTGGATGTAGTTCTTCTCCTTCTCCTACGTGCCAGACAGTCCTTCGCCCAATGGCCGCGCTTGCCACATCGGTGGCATTTCATGTAGTTGTTGCTTCCTTCCTTGTCCTTTTGCTTTGCTGTAGTTTCCTTGGCCTTTGTAGCCTTCGTTTGATCCATAGCCTTTGGATCCTGAGTAGCCTTTTCCTTTGCTCTTGTTGTATCCTCCTTTGTTGTAGCTCCCTTTGTTGCCTTTGTCAAATCCTGCTCCCGTAGCCGTGGCTCCTGCTGTTTCTGCTGTTGGCCCATTCTCTGCTCCTGTAGTTTGTTGTGCTGAAGCTGATGCTGCTTCTCCTGACATGTCGTAGTAGTTTGGCATGTGATTGCTGCTGCAGTTGTTGTAGTACTTACTGCTGGATACTGGAGCTCCCCTATGTTCAGGATCTCAGCTCCGCTACCACGTTAAATTCGGACTGCTGTTTTCTACAAGTGCAAGTGTTGTAGTGTTGTTAGCACAAACAACCTGTAGTCTGCACAACTCCTGTTTTGCGTGGGCTCTGGATGTAGTAAGCTCAAGGCCTGCGGTCATGTGCAAGCTATGTAGTACAACACCACATGTACTTTGACATCTCTCTCTCTGTCTCTCTCTCTCGCCCCCGCTCTCTCAATGTCTCGACAACAATTGTCGCACCTGCGCAGCAATCACGTCAGATTTCTGTGGTGCCTTGCAAGATTGTGTTATCACTACGACCTGACCTTCCTTCCCTCTCTGAAGAGGATCCTCGTAGACAATCCTTTTTGAAGAGGATCCTTGTAGACAATCTTTACACAAAACCTGTTTACAGGATTGCTGTGGCTCTGTGCAACATCTCTTGTGCAATATTTTTATGAAGGCTCTCCGATCTGGGTGTTTCAGGTTCAAAAATCGCATCCCAGAGCACGACCCACGACTTGCCAGGGAGGGCACAGGGCGTAGACCTTGAATAATGCCCCGGTCCTTCACAGAAGTTTCCATTTTGCGATTGATGAGCATCGCGCGAATTTATAAGTCGAGATCGCAGTCCTCAATCTGCGGTCAAGTGGTCTCACCCAAATACCACCTGAGTCAAGCAGAAGCATCTGACCCTGGCGCTACGCGGAGCTGATGATCCCATCTATGACAGCGTTTTTCCAGCAAGCCGGCGAATTTCTTACGTCGCGAGTTTCCAGAGAGCCGCAAAGCAAAAGCAAGCGGCCGCCGAACCAAAATCTGCTCCGAGGACAGTGCCAACCTGCTGGCCAAAGTGGTGTTGTTTGATTGTGCCGTTTTTGGGGTTGGTTTCGCAAAGCAAAAAGCACATCATGCTGAGGCTGACTTACAGGAAGATTTAGAATGGGAAAATGCAAGGAGGCGTCGGAGGCGTCTAAAATGTGTCAAGAAAAAGAAAGGATGGCCCACTTTCACGCGAGCAGCATTTTCTCGCCCGCAGCCACAGAAGTGCGACGGACATGACTCTTGAATTTGTGCGCCGCGCCACACGAGGATTCTTTCATGGAAGGTTTGCGGAAGCTTTGTGGGTCGACGTGAGCTTGTTCAGCTTGGCGCATGGAAAAACACGGGGGCCGATAGCAGTAGAAGCAGAAAGGTGTGGTTGCATACTAGAAGCGAAACGGAAGGTCCTCGGAACCTCCGCGGAAGGGTGGCCCACGCGTTTGCAGGCAAGTGCCCACGTAGCACTGGTGGCCCAATGGAGAAAAAGCCTACACACGCTGTTCCAACGCTACACAGGCGGAACATTACTTTCCTTACTTACGAGAACTGATTTTCATTCTTGTGAAGCATGCGCCGCCAAAGGCTGCGGAGGCAAACAATGAAACACATCCGCAAGAGAAGTCCGCGGCTTGGCCTGCGGCAAGGAGCAAGGGTTTGCGGAAGCTTGAAGAATGTGCAATCAGTTTAAAAGGGTGTGAAAAACACCGCTCATCTGAAAGCGGCTAAGCCTTGGCCAAAACTCGTGCGATGCCAATCTCAACAGCACATCGAGCCAAGCCGCAGCCAGACCCGCTTCGGCCCAGTATCGAAAAGCGAATGAAGGCGTTTTGTGAGGGAACAGCGCATAAGTTTGTCAAAGCTGGCCAAGTGCCGTTGGCAGGTTCTGAAGCGCTTGGAAACACAGCGGGGAGAGGCCCGGGGCTATTTGGAGCTGAACCAAGCACAGGCCGGGTGGATGTGGCCGGGACTCGTTGCTTGATCAAAGACACCTATCTTATTTTCGTGCTCCGCGCGCCGGCCTCGCATGTCCGCCGCGCGGGCTGGATGGATGGACGCGATGGATGGCGGATAAGAGGGAGAGAGGGAGGAGGGATAAAGGGAGGGAGGGACACATGCAAGAAATGCGATGTGGATGAGTGGATGGATGGGTGGGTCCGTGGGATGCAATGATACATGGGATGGAGGAATGGATGGGATGGCGCACACGCACACACCCACACCCACCACACAGCCACCTACCCAACAACGCACAACCACACGCACACCCATCCACACCCACCCACACCCACCCGCCCACCCAACCCACCCCCACCCACCCCGCACGCGCGCGCACCCGCGCCCGCATGCCCGCGCGCTGCCCCCCCGCCCCTTACGCTCGCGTGCGCGCACACACGCACAAACGCCCGCCCGCCCGACCGCCTGCCATGGCTTGGGGAAGAATGGCCCCATGCGGGCGATGCAGGGCATGCAGGCGATGCGCGAAACACAGGGGCTTCCGAAAGCGTTGGCGATGCTGGCAATGCAGCCGGGTTGCTACATATTTTCAGTGTTTTCAGCCTTCCCTCAACTCGAGCTCCAGTGGCCGCGCGGGTGGTGATGATACACAAAAGGCGCTGGGAGTGCAGACGATGCGAGGGGTCGGCGGCAGCAACCGTCTCTCGCAAGGCAAAGCCTAGGCATGCGCCCCTTTGGGCGAAATTGCGCGGCGAGGTCAGATTTGCGTTGCTGGCGCACAACCGGCCGCGGCAGCATCGCGACGCTCAAATTCCCAGCTCTTAGGCAGGCAGCAGCGACAATAACAACATTAGCACACATACACTTCCTTCCTTGCACGCATAACACACATCCATTTTCCACACATTTCCCATCAGTTTTCCTCCCTTTCGCGAAGGTTTTGACATGCTTTTTACGTCGCCGCGCGTGCGCACACATGCCCGCACGCACGCACGCACGCACGCCCGCACTCACGCACGCACGCGCCCACGCATGCACGCACGCACGCACGCACCCACGCACGCACGCACGCACGCACGGCGCGCGCCCGCGCGCCGCGTGTGTGCGTCTGGGCACGCGTGAGCGTGTGTCAGCGCGTGCGCCTGTGCGCCTGTGCCTGCGCGTCTGTGCGTGTGCAGGTGCGAGGGTGGATGTGCTTGCGTGAGCGCGCGTGCGCGCCTGCTTGCGCGCGCTTGTTTGCGCGTGCCCGCGTGCGTGCAGGCAGGCGGGCGGTGAGTGTGGATGGTTTTTTTGCATCAATACCTCGTATTTTTGCGTGTTTTTCAGGATTTCATGGCTGCAGCGGGACACTGTGTGGAAGCAGCTCCTGAACATCCCCAGCAGCACCAGCATCACCCGCATCACCAGGCAAGCCCGCAGACGTTTTCTTGCATTTCCCTTCGCTTCTTTGTATTTCGCTTCATTTCCGCTCAGCTCCCTTCATTTCCCTGAAGACCCCTTCATTCGCAGTCCTTTCTCTTAGTTCTTTTTACCCGTGACTTCAACCTCACTTCCATTCACGTCAGTTTCCTGCACTTGCCTTCATGTCCCTTGAGTTTCTCTTGGTTTCCTATAATTTCCTACAACTTCTTTTTCGTTTCCATCCTCCAGTTCCCTTCGCGTTCGTCCGCATTTCCCTTCATTTTGGTTTTCCATCCATCGCCCTCTTCATTTCCTTGCACTTCCCACTAAGTTCACTTCTACGCGCCCCGGTTTCTCCTGCATTTCCCCTTCGTGTAGTACAATTGTCTTAAGTTTGCCGCAGCCCCGCAGTTCGCATCACCAGCATGCATAGCATCAACCGCATCATCCGCATCATCCAGCATGACGCTAGCAATGAAAAATCCTCGAAAATCGCTTAAACCAATCCGCAAATCCTTCGCCCCTTAGCAAGGCGGCCCAGCGCAAAACGCATGCTCATGTTCTGCGCATGGACGCCGCATGGTAGGCAGCATGGGGGGACGGCCTTTTTACCTGAAGGTAGCCCTCCAGGCGAGGCCTGCCTATCACGTCCGGTGGCTACACGCTGACGGCACCTTGCCCTTCCCATTCTATCATTTCCTTTTCCCGTTAGTTCCCGGGATTTGAACTTCACTTCCTTTGCATGTCTTCCCTGCATGTCCGACATGGGCGGACGGCCTTATACCTGAAGGTAGCCCTCCGGGCTAGGCCTGCAGCCCCATCACGACCCCGGTCCGGATTTACGTTGCTGGCGCACAACCGGCCGCGGCAGCATCGCGAGGCTCAACGTCACAGCTCTTGCAAGGACGGCTAAGCAGGCAGCAGCGACAACAACAACCACATAAACATACATTTCCTTACTTGCACGCATACACACATCCATTTTCTAAACATCTTCCCGAAGTTTTCCATCCATCTTCCACATTTTCCATCTATTTTCTATCCATTTCCCGTCATTTCGCCATGTCCCCTTCACCGCCCGCCCGGCCGCACGCACGCAGGAACGCGCACACAAGCACACACGCGGGCACGCGCGCGCGCTCACGCACGCGCACCCACCCACGCACGCACCCACACACAGGCACACACACACACCAGACACACGCACACACACACAAAGACACACAGACACACACACACAGACACACACAAACACACACACACACACACACACACACACACACACACACACACACACACACACACACACACACACACACACACACACACACACACACACACACACACACACACACACACACACACACACACACACACACACACACACACACACACACACACACACACACACACACACACACACACACACACACACACACACACACACACACACACACACACACACACACACACACACACACACACACACACACACACACACACACACACACACACACACACACACA